TGTGTGTATATATATATATATATATATAATATATATATATATATATATATATATTATATATATATGTATCTATCTATAACATATATATATATATATATATATATATCCCAAGGTTTCAATGAATGTACTATAGACTATAGAAGTCACTACATACATACATATGTACTCGTAGTAAGTACTGTACATTGTACAGTGTACACACACACAGTGTGTACTGTACAGTGTACAGTGTACACTGATTTATCAGATTTCAGATTTCAGATATGTATTGGTAAACGATAACAAAATAAAGAAATACAAATTGGCGCCAATTGTGAAATTGTGAGTGAGTATGTAGTAACGCTGTAACTGATTGGGCGTCAGCGGGTAGAGTAAATATTGGAGCAGGGTTGTTACTCAATATTCATTCTACTCCTATCGTATGACGTAAATATCTAAATATACTATAGTATTTATTTGTTCCGAACTTTATATATGTGTTTTGAGTACACACCAGAACTTGCTGTTCGCTCATACAAACAAATATTAACGGTATGTATTGACTATTGTTTTTGTATAAATATAGCCCCCTGGGATCTGCTCTAGTTTTGTGATATGCAAAACCAATAGCTATGTCAATGGAAGCGTGCATGAAGTTATTTGACATTTATTAGGAGAGTAGTCATCTCGCACAACTAAAGTTGAATTTAGCTGTGCAACAAGTCCGATATTGATTCTGACACCGATGAGTGTGCACGATGTCTCACCTTTCAGTATAAAGACGCAGTGACAATGAGTGGGGGAAGAAGGCACCAATATGTCAGATGTGTACATTAGTGAGAGTATACTTCGAGAATACGAGACACGTCCCGGCCGTCCGTACTGCACACACTCAGCCGAACGTTGAAGCAGGAAGTGCACAACAACTGAGATGTAATGAGTGTTTTGATTTGAAGTATGACTTCGAATTCCCAGGAACGCTTAACTCGTCTACTACCTGCGAGCAATGTATGTTGTCAAAGAATTCCAACCACGGTGCGTCTTCGTCTACCCTCACGGCAAATCAATTAAACACTACGATCGCATACCAAGAGACTGCTGCTACTGATAGTTCGCGCCGCAGAAATTGCCAATCGTGCCATAGAAGTTTACCCGAGGCTTCCTACGACGCAGGACAGTGGCACCATGGTCCTCCATCTGCGTGTCGGACGTGCCTAGGATCTTTCCTGCGTGCACCCTTTCCATTGCCTGATATGGATTTTACTAACCCACACATTGGGCTGATTTTGGCCGTGTGCCAAATATGTCACAGGAGAGCAATGTGCTGTAGAAATATTTGGGAGGTTCCGTTTTGTTTTACCTGCGAATCGAGACGAGCGCGCGAGCAAAGGTGTACCAACATGTGGCTTGGCCTTGAAGTGCTCGAACAGGATCTTCAAAGGCAGGACATAATTGCCGCCGCCCATTATTCTCAGTCAACAGGGGTTGATGATGAAGAATGGGAGGAATATTCTAATTCTGATGATGAAGTTATGAGTGAGGAGCAATTCGAAGAAATGTACGAACGCGAAGAATGCTATCGCATATCCGGGCGTACAGTGGTATGTATCTCGCTTAACCAGAGTTCGCCATTTAGAATAACATCAGGCGGGCGGGAGATGCTACTATGTACTATCTGCCAAGATGACTTGATTGTAGACGTGGATAAACCACAAGGCAATCGTTTGGGAATAGGCCTGTTCTCGTACGCTGTAGTCCCCCTCATTGCTAGATTTACGACTGAACCCCCTGTGTGCTTCCAGTTGGAACCATGCAAGCACTACTTTCATCCCAAGTGTATTGCAGCACATGTTCTTCAATACGAGGGAGAGCAATGTTCCATATGCAGGGCTCCGATCACCGTGTACTTAGATTGAGCCGAACGAGAGGTTAGCCTGGATTTCGGTTCTCAAAGGCTATTACTTCCATCCGTATGGGATAATCGGAGGACTCTCGCAAAGAAGTATATGACTACATCCATGTCACAAATATATGACTACTTCCACATGTCTTAAATATAACAAGAAATATAATATATAAATTGCAATTGGGTCTCAGGCTCTCAGCGTGGTATAACAGAGCTGGGAATGGCGTGCGCATTCGTACTTCAAAATCTATTTTCTGGTTTGCTACACCATTACCGTCAGAATTTCAATAGGGCGCACAATTTTCTGGTAGTAGGCAGACCTCATGTGCCGTGCAAAATAGTACTTAATAACTGCTATATTGCTTTGTGCCTGACTGTAGCAGCGATTAATTAGCAGTACATTATCAGAGTTGCTTGCTTGTTCCTTAAAATTCATGCATTGAGCACATGTGCCAACAGCAACGCTGCTCTCGGCTCATGCGACTAAAATTATCAGCCGTATTGTGTGCTTTGGTACGTACTATATAGATTCATTGTAAGAGCGTGGAATTGGTAATGTACTATTTTTTTATAACGGAATCTCCATATACAACACATGATATGTATATCGGTACATGTTTATTTGCATATGTGGCTTCAATCAGCGCACCGGGATGACTCAGCGTACCCGGGAATTGAATTACGATAGCCATGTTCGCTGGGCGAGCCTACAGTGGAGTTAAGCAAAATATATACTTAGACTGTAAGCGCCATCTTCGCGCCTTAATCACACCCTGCATTGAATATTATTTTAAATAACTATATTGTATTTATAGACATACGTAGCCGACTAACACCGTCCACGGCGACATGAGTGCAAACGGAAGAAGCTATATAGTTCATACAAACCTTGTCAGGGTTTACAGGATTTATTGAGTTTGTAGGGTTTATAGGGTTTGCGTTTTCATGCAGATGTATGAGCCTAATAATGACTATTTACACGTACTTTGCTGGGGTTGCTGTATTTCGTTTCGTCTTCTGGAGAATAGAGATTTTAAGCAACAGTAGACATACTAACACATAACACATACTTAACATAGACAATGTTTTCTACCTGTTCAAACCCACATTGCTCTGAAATCACGCAGGGTAGTTGTTTCTCTTGTGGTGCAGTAACATAGATACTCTTTTTGTACACGCTTTTGCATTGTTACCAACTGGTGACTTCACATGTGCTCGTCTGCGGGCGAGCTGCAGATGTTGAGCCTTCGCAACCACTTCAAAGGACAACAGGCGTCTTCGTCTACTACAAACTACGCTGTACTTTTGCGCATATGAAGCTCGTGCTGTGTGTTTAGTGCTTTGTAGACGTCTCACAAACAGACTGCAAAGAAGCCACATAGCTAGAGATACGAGGATAATATATATATATTTATATATATATATATATATATATATATA